GATTCTGTTTTCTCTTATAATGTTTAAATTATTCTTAAAATATAGTTTAAATATAATTTAAAAGAATTTATTCTGAGATTTTTTTACAAGGTTATGGAAGTAATCTAAAAAAGCTAATTTATGCGATAGTCAAATATCGACTCGCTCACACCTTTACTGCTACTAGCTTTTTTCACTCACAAGGTAGAATTTCTGCTCACAACACTATGGAGCTTAGAGGGAACATTGCCCCCATCCCACTCATGATTCAGAAATTACTTTTGAGGTAAAATAATTGTTTTGTCCATATTTTTCTGGTAAATAAACTGTAAGGTAAAGGTGAAGGTTCCCTTGCTCGAAAGCCAGTCGAATCCGACTCTAGGGTTGCGGTGCTCATCTCTGTTTCAAAGCCGAAGAGCCAGCGCTGTCCGAAGACGTTTCCGTGACTATCAATATAGTGGAAAGGGGTGGGTGAAATTTTACTTGATTCTGTTTTCTCTTATAATGTTTAAATTATTCTTAAAATATAGTTTAAATATAATTTAAAAGAATTTATTCTGAGATTTATTTACAAGGTTATGGAAGTAATCTTCTAAAAAAGCTAATTGATGCAATAGTCAAATGTCGACTCGCTCACACCTTTACTACTACTAGCTTTTTTCACTCGCAAGGTAGAATTTCTGCTCACAACACTGTGGAGCTTAGAGGGAACATTGCCCCCATCCCACTCATGATTCAGAAATTACTTTTGAGGTAAAATAATTGTTTTGTCCATATTTTTCTGGCAAATAAACTAGTTTTGGACAAAATGACAAATGTCTAACTTAACTGACTGGATGGCTTTCCTAACTGTCTATGGTCTGTATTTTTCTCTCTCTCACCCTTCCACCAAAGGCATGGTTCTTCCGTCTCCCATTTTGTCCCCAGAACAATCCTGGAAAGTATATCAGGCTGAGAGAGAAGGAAGAGAGTGCAGGGGTGCCCAAGGTGTCCCAGTAAGCTTTATGGCTGAGTGGGGAATTCAAACTCAACTCTCTCATTTACTAGCCCAACTCTTAACGGCTATGCCATGCTGGCTCTCACAGGTGACAGCTATGAGGATTCAAAGGCTACCTTCTGTGTTTTCCCTCCTTTCCCCCCTGAAATTAGCAAAGCACTGTTTTTGGCCAGCCCTTCTGTGTTTTGATCCCTCACGTGTCTCTGTGCAACCTGTAACCTTTCCTAGCCAACTCTCCTAAGCCGGCTTTGACTCTGAAAATAGCCCATGCAGATAAGTAATCACATTTGCCTCCTGTCCTTCCTTCGGCAAGCTTCCTCACTTTCCAAACATTAAACCTGTCTGGAAGGGAAGCAAAGTGATGACCTGCTTTCGGAGGATGCTGCCTGTTGACTCCCTGCACGAGTCACTGGCATGTCCGAAGCAGCAACTCATGCAGAAACTCTGGCGGCTCCTGCTCCGGGAAGCGCCGTTCCAGTTCTTACATGTTCTGAAAGGAAATTTTTTGGGGGGGTCTTAAGTGTTGCCCCAAAAGTTTACTTAGAAAAATAGTTTGGCAATCAGAGTTCTGGAAATGCTCTAGGATGTATAAGGGGCTGACAGGAGTAAGGCTTGTGGGGTTGGGGAGGACTGCTGGCTGGAGCTGGAAGAAATCAGCCCTCCCTTGGCCCCGGTTGCTTTGCTTTCAACACCTGTGTGTAGGTTGGGCAGACCTGGGAGCTTCAGCTTGACGGGCTCTGGAACTACCTGTCACAAGGCAGCTGCTAGCGGCCGTCTCCTGGGGAAGAGGTGTGTGTGGGAAGCGTTGCTGCACTACAGAGAAAAGGGGCCCTGGCTTCTGTTCTTGACACTTGCCTTCCTGGCCAGGGAAATCCGCTGAGGCCAGTGAGTCCGCCT